CACAACCAAAAACCCATTTCCTTCTACCCTTTTTTTTTCGGATTGCCGAAACCCCTACCCGAAACCCATCTCAAAATTCCCTAATTTTTGTTCTATCAAGATGGAAGGAGCTCAAAACCCAATTGGAGCAGAAGGATCTAGGAAACTCACTCGGGTGATTCGAGGGATGATCATGGACCTTGAGGACTACAACAAGTTCATCCAAAACCAAGACTTGGGGGTAAAAATCTTAACCTCTCTTGAAAGTAGTGGGTTATTGAAATTTTGCTCTTTCAAGTATGATGGTTTCTATTTGAATGAAGTAGTAGAATTTTATAGACACGCATTTGTCGAACATGGTGTTATAAATTCTACTGTTGGAGGAGTTGTGTTAAAAATTGAGTTAGATGATGTGAGAACTCATTTTGGATTGGAGGAAAAATTGTTGAAAGTTGAAGATCACGGCTTTGATTTAAATGATTTTTGGAGTGAAATTAGACACGAAACCGCACAAGTCGAGACGTGTACTAATGGCTTTAAGGTTATGTTGAAGCACGAATATGGAATGCTACTTGATATAGTGCATAAAACTATTGAGTGCATATTCTAGTAGGAATTATTTTACTAAGAAAAATTTGCCTTTGATGCATGCCATTGTGAATGTTGTTGCCGTAGATTGGGGACGGTTTATATATGGCCGAATAGTTGATCAAATTGGCCTAGCGAAACCATTGGTGAATGGATGGTTTCCTAATGATATTGGATACGGTTTTGTTGTTGGGGAGTTGTTGAAGTTGAAAGGTGTTGCCCTATCCAAATCAAAACCCATACAAAACCAAAATTACCTTTTTCGAACCCCAATCCCAGTTGATACTTCCCTAGCCAATATCCGAAAACGAAAACCGGCAAATGCATCAACCCATTCCTTAGCCAAAAAGCCTCCTTCTAACCGAGCTACTAGTCACGGGGAATCCAATACTCATGGAAGGGGTAGTGATGATGCTTGTAGCAATCAATTTGTTACCATACCCATACCCGTAACCCACACCCCAAACCCGAATGAAGAAGAGAGAATTCCAAGTAAAGTTGGGAGTGTAGATGACATTCCAACTTATGGGGCAAGTAGTGAGTTGTTGAAGGAGTATGAACGTGTGAAAGTTTAGAGAAATTAGAGACTAAGTGATCATAATTCGGTTGCTACAACAATAGGACCGGATACTCTAGAGTTGGAGGAATTTGCTCTACAATGGATTGGAACAAGAAATCTTGCTACCGCAACTAGGCTTTCGGTGATTAATGAGTGCTTTGTTAAGAAAGTTGCCATTAGTCGGGGCAAGGAAGTGGCTCAAGAAGTTCCCGAAAATGCTGTTGAGACAATATATGGATTTGCTCGTGATGATATTGCCCGAGCATTGGTTATTTCTAGAGAAGAAGTGCACGGCACACATGGGGAAGCATCACATTTGAAGGAGACCGAAGGTGGAAGCTTGCAAGAATTAGACCTATTTCCTTCGAATATAGGGGATGACAACCTTAGTTTTGATGCTATTTCACCCCACACGGCTACGGATGTGACAAATTCGGTGAATGAAAATTTAGAAGCAAATGTTGATGATGAAAGCCGAATGGAGGAACAAGAAAATGTGCTACAAATTGAAGTGTCACCTTTGCCACTAAGCCGTGCCGAACCGATTCATATTGCCACTGCCGAACCATTCATTCCCACTCATGATGAGCCCTTGTGTCTTGAAGATACACCACATGTGGAAGCACCGGAGCCGGATAACACCACACTGCCGAGACATCCACATGAGACACACAAGGAGGTACATTCTACTCCCATTGATATTAATGCTTTGAAAGAAAACATTATTGGGGATGTACGAAAAGAAATTCAAGAGTTGAGAAGAGATGTTTTTCAAGAGTTTGAGAAAGTCCAAAATCAATTTGGTAATGTTGATACCAAATTAGATGACTTTCACAAGCAAGCATATGAAAGGGCCGAATCCTTGTTACTTGGACAAGGATCAATCCAAGGTGATATGGCCACAATGTCTACTAAGCAAGAAGAGCGTAATGGGGAAGTCTTGAAGATGTTCCTTGACTTAGGAAAGAAAGGAACGGAGTGTGAATCGAGGCTACGATTGGTAGAGAACCAATTGAAGGCTCTACTACATCAAGTTGGCGTGAACAATGATCTTTTAATTGGAGTCCAAAAGAGCCAAGACAAAGCTTCGGCGAGTTTCCAACATTATGTGGATGCTGCCGAAAAGGGGGAAAGAGCTAGAGGAGCTCCAAGTCATTTGGTGAACCATTTGATTGGATCGTCGTCACAACGGCCACTAGTTGAGCTTGTTAGACCTCCAGGAGCACCAAGAGGAGTAACACCCACACCGAGAGCTCAAGGCCGAGGAAAAAGGAGAATAATGGATTATTTGGTGACCCCTCAAAGCATGGATTTTCCTAGCCAACAAGAATGCCAAAGATCAACACCTTCAAGATCAATTTATGAAGAAAACAAGATGAAGCTTATACGAGAGTTGGAGACATTCTTTGGGCACACAAGCAACGAAATGGTGGATGGAAGATCATTTGAAGAATGTGTTGCTTGGTACCAAGCCGGAGTGTTACGGGGTGACAATGTTCAAGAAGCTTATGGAAATTATGTTACCGAGCAAGTCACCGCACCATACCAACTCGAAGGAAAGAAACGAGACTTCAAGGAATTAAGGACACACGTGAATGCCTTAATTGGCAAGAGGTAAAATTTTGAAGCCTCAATTTTTGGTGTACATAATAGCTAGCTTGTTCGAATTATGCTTTTTGGAACATTATATAAATTGCTAGCATATGGTTTATTTCTTTACTTTGTCTAGTATGTTAATTGCTTTAAAGTCTCAAGATTTTAAATTGGACTTAGTAATTGCATGTGAGGCGTATAATTGAGAAAATAAAATTGAAAGGAGGAAGAAAAATTAAAAGATAAAATTCAATACGCAACCCCGCGTTATAGTCTCAATATACGTTTAGGACCGTCCAAAATTAAAATCTCTAGGTCTTAAATGTGTTAAACCCGTCAAATGGCTAGTCGCAATAAAATTGGACAAAAAGATTATTTTTCAAAAATTTGACATCGCCAAATGACTTGGGTATAAGTTTCGGCATCATCAAAAAGGGGGAAACTGTTAGGAATATATTGTATAAGTTTTGATGAGCCAAATGTATTTTGTAGACCCTAATTTTATTTTATTTGAGTCAGTTCTGGTTCACCAAGTATAGTGCACCACTGCCATGAAGCCTACATGAAGTCTACGAAAAAGCAGTTTGAAGGAAGAATAAATGAAAACGAGATCATAGCTTAACAGATTTATGAAGCATCTAGTCATCAAAGGTTGAGATGGACGAGATGGTAGAAGACTTGTTGAAGCATGCCTAATGCGAGATGATCCATAGTTTGATTCTCATTAGAAGCAATTTTGGTGTAAAGATGAATTGCTATCGTGAAGTAGCAATATCAGGAGATGATGTCATCATGATAGTAATATCAGGTTATACTATCATGAAAGAACAATTTTTATCGTGATAGTTGAGAATTATCGGGTGATGACGTCACGACTATCGGGTAATGACATCACAATGTGATCAAGCTAGTGGAGAACACGTGGAGGAGATAAGTCAAAAGAATTTAAGTCTTGGATTGTATCAATTGGTTACCCAGTTGAGATGGAAGAAGCCTTGCCAAACAAAGCAAATGGTCCACAGTTTGATTCCTGCCCGAAGTGATTTTATGATTTCATAATATTGGTTCATGATATATAATAGAACGTGATACATGGTCCATGATACAAGGTGGAACATGATATATATATGGTCCATGATACAAGGTGGAACATGATAGCTAGCTCATGATATGAAATGGAACATGATATATATGGTCCATGATACAAGGTGGAACATGATATATATGGTCCATGATACAAGGTGGAACATGATAGCTAGAACATGATATGAAATGGAACATGATATATATAGTCCATGATACAAGGTGGAACATGATATACTATTGGGACATGACTTCATCAAAAGGAGCTATGACATCATGATAGAATTAGACAGAAACATTTTTTGAAGCTCTGTTTCTGCAGAAGAAGTCGAAGGAGAAGAAGAAGCTGATATACGAAGGAGATCTTTTTAATACTCAAGCAAGAATCAGCAGACAAATTATTTGATCAACTTGGCACATCAGATCAATAATTCAACAAAAGTCATGCCAGAGAAATTCAAATTTGGAGGCTACCCATGCCAAGGAAAAAGCTTTGTCAGATTAAAGAGGAGCAACGGCAAATTTATTTAAATCTTCTGACAGACGGCGAAATGATTTTTGCAGACCAAGTTGGCAAAATTATTTGATCAACTACAATTCAAAATGGACGATCGAGATTGAAAGTTGATCAACGGGCAAATAGCTTTCATCTGCTATAAATTGCCCAAGCAGACTTGAAGACAAGCACGACTTGAACAAGAAAATTATCCAATCAATCATCAAGTGATATATTGAGCTATACACGATCAAATTCAAGTCTGAGTGAGAGAAAAATCTTTGTATTTCATTGTAAATCTTCTACTGAGTGTAGAAAAGGGGTAGAGTAACTAGGGAGAGTGAAAAACCCAGTTGGAGTGTAGCTTTGTGCGTAGCACTCGGTTGTAACGGGCAGAGTAACAAGGGGAGCTTGTGAAAACCCGGTGAGAGCGTAGCTTTGTGCGTAGTTCTCGTGGTGTAGGAGTACAGCTTGGTGCGAAGTACTCGGGAAGGCGGAGTAACAAGAGGAGCTTGCGAAAAACCTTGGTGGAGTGTAGCTTTGTGCGAAGCACTCGGAGAAGTGTCGTTGGGCACTTATTCACTATTGTATCTGGTTGATCGAAGAATAGTGAATTTCCTCCTTGAAGTGAAAGGAGAAGAGTGGACTAGGAGGATTACACCACCTCTGAACCACTATAAATCTCTCTCTCTATTTACTTACTGCTCATATATATTTCGTGCATGCCTATATTATCTGTGAACTAACCCGTTACGGTTTATTGCGTATCTTTATCTGTCTGGGTTTGATAGTTCCCTCGTTTGCATGCAAGTGAAATTTTATATACATCATCCTACATCTATATCAAGTGTTTCTAACGTGATGCATGTATAGAATCTCTCTTGAGCACGACACAATTTAAAGCATAACACTTTGCCGTTACAATTCCGCTGTGCACACTCTAAGTTGTTATACTTGTTTATGCTTGTTACTTAGAGTTGAAGTTACAAAGTGTTGTTTGCAGAAGAAGTTTGAAAAAGTTAGAGAAGTCTATTCACCCCCCCTCTAGACTTCTCACCACCCTTTCGGGACCAACAGCCGCTGGCGGATGTTGCACTCAGTTGGTTTGGATGAAACAGATGCTTCTGGGGTTGACTAGTCAATTACTAGTCCCCGACTATTGAATTTTCAGGATTTTTAGAAATTAAACCATTAATTGAAATAGGGTTAATTACTCAATTAATCCCTTAATTGAATTTGGATTTCGGGGTGTCACATCCTCTCCCCCTTCAAAGAAGCTTCGTCCCCGAATCTTGGGTACGACGAATTAAAAGTAAACGGTGATAGAAAACAACATTGTGACAAGAGGTTCAAGAACAAACTCTTTTTGTCAAAACTCAAAAAGGATTCACAAGGATTTCAAAGCAAGAAAGAAGGCATACCAAAACAAGGATTCGCAAGAATTTAATAAACAGGTAAATTGAGCATCACGAACTCTAGCCTTAACACAAACACCGACTCCTAGTCAACCACTAAGAACTAAACAACCAACACAAAGCACCAACTACTACTAAGCTAACTAAACAACAAAGCAACAAGCAAAACGAGCACAAAAGCGAACAACAAACAACCTACAAACGGCAACAACGGCTAAGAAGATACAACTACTAAGGAAAGGCGAACAAGATAGCCACAGCTTCACACTAGAAGGACTCGCTCTCCGACTCCTCGGACTCTTCGTCATCTTCTCCTCTAAGGCTTGAACTGGCTTCAATCTGGTCCAACCTCTGGTTAACTGAAACGGACGGCATCTTCCTAAAAGCAAAGCAACTAAACCAACTACTAAAACTACAAGCTAACAACCATGGCAAACAAGAGAGAACGACTAAACGCACAACTGAGCAAACAACTACCAGCGGACCTACTAACAAAACAAGCAAGGGATGCAACAAGACTCCACAACGAAAACGGTCAGCTTGCGAAACGGAGGACAAAGCTTAAGAGATGGGTTGCAAACGAGGTTTAAGCAATAAAGGTGTTCGCCAACTAACCAGGGTTAGGGAAACAAGGGTTTAAAGTAAGGTAGTAAGATTGATAGGCTTGGTCACAACGAAGTTCAACACCAAAACCATCGATTAACAAAACGAGAGACAAGACTTAGAGATAGGTGGAGGGTTCACAAAGGTAAGATCGATAAGAAAGAAAGATAAGGTGATAGATAAAAGATTAACCAGAAGGGAAAACTAACTTTACACCGAGCCTGACTCCTGCTCAAAACTAGCCAACGATCTACTCAAAACGAGACTGCTCAGCTAAGGAACAAGCCACAAACAGAAACTGACACCACAAGAACCCTAAACTAGATCACTCGGGATCACAGAACCAAAGGAGACAAGGTACCCCCACTACTTAACTTGAGCTCGGCATCTGCTTAAACTAGATCCGACACTTCCAACAAGAGCTTCACTAAACAACTTAAGGTCTCAACTTAGAGCACTAACCTAAGCTCAACTTAGGTTCTTATGGTCCAACACTTAACATCCTAGGCTCAAACCTAGGCTCTGATACCAACTGTAACACCCACCCCCCCTAAAAACAAGCTATTTTAAAGCCTTAAACATGCAGATAACTAAACCAAACAACAATCACAGCGGAAGACTGAAAGATAGATGTATATAAATAAACTGGAATACGGGGTGCTATGCCACGTTCACCAAAGAGATGAACGCACAGGCAACATCTGCAATATTTAAATCTAAACCCATTGTCTCATTGTTCTACATCTAAGCTGGCACACGGGCCACAAAACGTAAGGGAGAAGCTATACTAGCAAGTACTAGACCGCGCACTCGCCTAGACATAACCTGAAAGAACACAATAAACATGGGACGACGCCCGATCAGCGAATAATGCTGGTAACCCACCAATACATGTGAAATAAAATACATAGGTAAGATATAAGTTGTAAAGCCATTTTCAAAACGGAATACATAAGTATATAAGTACAAAACCAAGAGTAATAGTCAACACAAGACTCAACACTCTCAACAAGAACACGGGAACACATCCCAAGACCACAAAGAGCAACACGACTCACAAGAATTCTCAAGGTATGATCTATCATCACACAATAGATCAAAACCCGACATGCATAACGCAAAGGAATAAGACTCACCCACGGAAACACATGCCTTTGTGACTACACACGTTACAAGAGAAGAACTCACAACAACGGCTACACAAGCCCTCCTGACATCACCCATCACGAGTTGATATGCCTTCCTTATGCCCGGTTCCAACCTTATGGCTACCCCCAACCTTATTTCTTATTCCAACCATTACCTCCAGGACCCCTATACAACCAAGTCCAACCTTTTCCCTCCAAGGACCGTCGTCCCCATCCGCCGACAAACCACCAACAAAACCACCAATTCATAGTACACGAGGGTACCGATCACACACACGGCAACACATGCCTCCCAATAAATACGTGAACCTTACACAAAGGTCACAAACTCCATAATCACGTCACGGCCACCACGAGGACCGCTGCAATACCTTGGTGACTAGTGTCCCATTCCACTAATCGTGCAAATCAGGTAAAGCCACACACACACATCACACCACAACAGGAATCAATCAACGTATCACAACGAAGATATGAAACCATACTCAATCAAGGAATGGATCAAAGTCCAACAACAACGATGAATAACACAAGTTATCATCAACCAATTGGAAGGTACAAACAACACACACGCTAGCATTTAAACACCGAACTAGCATGCTTATCAAACGGGTAAACCAAACATAGTTTCGAAGAACACACAAGACTCATCACGATTCAACGTGTGATACCCCGGTTATTTGAGTATTTTGTTATAAATATTATTATTCTAAATAAAATTTTATAAAATAGATATTATGCTAAATAAAAACATTTTTACTATACGGTTTGTAATTATATTATTTTATGTGACCCAAAACTATTTAAACTAGTCTACTACTGCTACTCTTTTATTTCTAAACGGTGTATTATGGCTAATAATTATTTATTTATATATGTGTTACGTATATATATATATATATATATATATATATATATATATATATATATATATATATATATATATATATATATATATATATATATATATATATATATATATATATATATATGTTAAGTACTAGTAGGCTAATATGTATATTAATATTATATTAAGTTTTTAAGTATTGTAGTCTCCTACAACTAGAATTATTATTTATAATACAAGTTATTAGTTAAGTGTTTAAGTAGTAGTCATATTGTTCCAAATAAGCTAATTCAATATATTTTTTTCTATCTCTCCTGTCGACAATCCCTCCTTTCTCCCAAACAAAAATAAAACCCTAGCAGTTTCTTCTTATCAATTAATTTCAAGAATTAGATGTCAAGATCATCAAGCTTAGGTGATTGCTTTTGGGCATTATTAGAGGTAAGATTTATGTTCACTAAAATTTCTTTTGCCCCAAATCAAAAATCACTTTTCCTATGTGTTTATGTGATTCATGATTTTAATGAATATGTGATATTTAACGTGAAAAGTTATTTGATTATATTATGCGAATAGATATATGTGTTTAGATTTTTTCAAAACCCTGCATATGTGATATGGTGATTTTGTGGTGATTAAGAAGGATAAATTTTACACAATTTGATCATTGCCTGAGAAAATTCTGACTGGCGCATCTGGAAAGAAAAATTCGTGAAAAATGTTTACTAAACTTATTTTTGCTTGAAAAATTTTCTGGAGAATCTAGACTTGATATAATTGATTTTTGTAAAAAGTTTTGATTAAAAATATGTTTAGGTTTTTCCAGAATAATTTCGTAAAGTTGAGGTAGTGTTCTGCCAGTTAAATTACAGTCTGGTGCTGTGTAGGGAAATATTTCGGGAAAAATACTTCTAGGCCTTGGATTGGCTTGAAACTTTTTCTATGTAATCTAGACTCTTTTTACTACTTATCTGGAAAATTTTGTATGAAAATACGTTACCTATTTTTCTCAGTAAATTCTGCAATTTAGGTCATAGTTTCTGAAAATTTTTGTCAGTTTCTTATTTGAGATATTGGGAAGTTGCTTGCTTGTGAAATATCATTACTGTTATCATTTTTATAAATATGGAGAGTTGTGTTCATAATAATTAGGTGTGGAATATGCTAATCTGTGTTATATCTATGAGGTTAATAGGATGTTTGGAAATACATTTTTGGAAATATTGGTACAAAGGTTATAGATTCAGGTGTAAAGTTGAAAGTATTATTTGGGTGGAAAGATTTTGCTTTAAGTGGTGAACTTTTGAGGTTTTAGATATATATATATATTTTGTCAATGGAAAGTGGTGCCATCTGATGTTTTTGTGAAGTGAGCGGTTGGAATATACCGACTCACTAGGGAGCCTAAAAACTCTCTGTTTTGTGGAGTGAGCAGTTGAGATATACTGACTCACTAGGGAGTTTTATATTAACTTCCCTGTTGTTTTGAGGAGTGAGCAGTGATGTAAAAGCTGACTCACTAGGGAGCCGTGAAAACTCCCTGTTTATGAAAATCTATTTTTTGAGAATTTGAAAATCCTCCATTTGGTACCCATTTCTTCTTGGCAATTTATATATATCAAGTGTGGCTGATTTTGAGAAATTTTAATGTATCATTGGAAGATGTTCTCTTGGAAAGAGATAAATTGAGAGATTGGAATTCTCTCTTTGGTAATACTATTTTGAGATTATGTTGAGAGATTGAAATTCTCTCTTTGGTTATTATTTTTGGAGTTGGAAACTCTATTTGGTTATTATTGGAAATTATTTTGGTGATTATATTATGATTATGATTTAAAGAAATTGAGTAATGAGGATGCTATGAAATATTTTGAGGTTATGGGTGTATGGAAATGTTGATAAATGTTATATGGGAATCTTGAGGAAAGAATAATGGTTGAATGATTTTGGATTATGGATAGGCAATGCCTTAGTCGTTTTGTTAGAAGTTGTTATGGATATTTTTGTATTTGGATGTGTGATTTCCTCAATATATATTATAAATGGTTAAAGTTAAAGATTATTCGTTTGTTGATGAAAATAAAAATGTTTAAGGGGTCATTCTAGAAGCAAACTATCTTCTCCTATATTTTTTGAATGCCTATCTTCTCCTATATGTTACATGCTATGTGCAAAATGTTTTACGGGGTGAAGTAGATCTTACAAGCTTAATGCTGAATTTGTGTGTTTCTTTGTTTTCTATTCTTTAATTGTTTTTGCAGGAACTCTTGCATGAGCATTGGACATGAGAATGAGTGAACCGCCTAGAGATATCATTTATTAGTTAGACATTTGAATTGTTAGTTGTTTTTGTACTAATACATATTTTGAGTTGTTTATTGTAAATTGTAAATTTAGCCTTAGCGTTTGGGTATAGAGAAATACCTGAGCGTGGCGGTAGCACTCTCCTTTTCTTTTAGTTTTATTTTCGCTTCCGCAGTTACATTCGTTTTCAAAAAAAAAAATACATACGCTTTTGAGAAGAAAGAAACACTCCGACATATACTAAGAGATCACATCCTTGATTATCATAACTCTTCTCAAGACAATTTGTTCTTGTTGATTATGATGAAGAACTTGAGAAGAGATATCGTTGCTTAAACGAAAAGGATGCTAAGATCACACAGTTGTGGGAACAACATTGGACTGCGTTATTGAAGTGGACTGCATCAGAGTTAGCTCTCCAAGTGAAGGCATTTCATTGGACTTCTGTATGCACGGCTCTCCATCTTCAA